GCATTGATGGAGAATCCTTGTTGTGGGCATAATTATGTCCACTGGGCGGAGAGATACGCCGGGAACTCGTCCTTTGGCCAGCGTCTGGGTGCGCTTCCACTGCATTGGTCGAGTGGAAGGGTGTTCGGGGCCTTCGTTGGGCCAGTGCTCCATATCGGAGGTAATGATCTGGGCCTGCTTAGCGGCAGGGCCCTGTATCTGCAAGCCCGTGCCGACATTTTTGAGATCTGGTACGCATGGTCCCGGGTTCACATCGCTTCGTCGGCCATTTTTCCACGCCTTCGGTGGCCAGGAGGCGGTGACGTCAGGAAGCTCGAGAAGGCCAGACAGCGTGTGAACTGGGCCATGCGCATGGCTTTGGCACAGAGCATACACCATGGAGACATTACACATGGCAAAACACGGTTTTACCATTATGATGGTATACACCTCACAGATTGGGCAACGCACAATTTTGGGCTGATTTGCGGCTAGGCATTCAGGAAGTTTTGGGGGCTTGGTGGGGGATGGGGGCGAAATAGACATTTGCCCCCAATCCGTGGCATAAATAGATCAGGAAAACAGACATGGAGGTATACGCAAGGCACCCCTTAAGGGTGGGGGGCAGTGTACAACAATCACTCACCTAGAAGTCACCAAATGGGTGAGGGGACATCACTTGGCACAGAAATTGGAGAAGCCGATTACAATAATATGAGACAGGCTTCTCCAGACTTTTACCTTCAGGTTGCCTGGTTGGGGATCCAGGGCACACAGATATTACACACTAAATAGCCGAGGACGCTGCCTCGGCTAGCCACCAAGTTCCTAGACACATAGTTTAGTTCAGTTGAACTTAAATAGGTAACATTCAATAAAAGTTGCCCAATTTGAATCCATATCACTGTTGTCTGTCTCGTTATTTCTGGGGTTGAGGGGCAAGGGACTCTCCCAGCCAACGAAGTTGGTTGGGAGAGCGATTTGCCCCTCCCCCCAGAAGGTAGAGAATGGAGGTTCCTTCGAACCTCCTAGAAGAAGGGAGGGGGCTGGCTGATCACGTGAGCCAGCCTCCTTCCTTCAGTCTTGCTAAGACTTTCTACCCGCCACTCCCGCCCATTGACAGTATATTTGGTTGCCCGTTGGAGCCGGGTAGGAATTTTTTGCCTCTCATGTTCTGGGGGGTTTTTTCGCCTACCCTATACTGTTATTAGGGGCTAGATGGGGTGGTTCGGTTTAACTAGGCTAGCATAAATAGATCAGGAAAACACTGACATGGAGGTATACGCAAGGCACCCCTTAAGGGTGGGGGGCAGTGTACAACAATCACTCACCTAGAAGTCACCAAATGGGTGAGGGGACATCACTTGGCACAGAAATTGGAGAAGCCGATTACAATAATATGAGACAGGCTTCTCCAGACTTTTACCTTCAGGTTGCCTGGTTGGGGATCCAGGGCACACAGATATTACACACTAAATAGCCGAGGACGCTGCCTCGGCTAGCCACCAAGTTCCTAGACACATAGTTTAGTTCAGTTGAACTTAAATAGGTAACATTCAATAAAAGTTGCCCAATTTGAATCCATATCACTGTTGTCTGTCTCGTTATTTCTGGGGTCGAGGGGCAAATGCAGATGGAAGAATCTAGGTTATTTAAGGCCAGTGTGTCCCCTCAAAACCACTCTTCGCTTCAAACTGGCAACCCACCCTCCCATCAGTGCACTTTGGGGCCAGATAGGATTTTTTCTCCTCCTTTACATGTTTTGTTGTTGTTGTTGTTACTGTTGTTGTTGTTGTTGTTCCTGCTGCTGTTGTTGTGTTTTGTTTTAGTTTTTGCCTTCTCTATACTGAATTTCTAGGACTTGAACAATTGGTTAAGGGTGGTACTGATAAATAGATTGCCTCAAACAGGTATCAGGGAAGAATATAAGAATTGGGTGTACATCTTGTGTTAAAGGATGGGACCCTGTAATGGTGCCTTTGTAGGAATATTTTATATCTATAGCCGAGTAGAGTGCGATTCAGTCAGTGCTTATATATGAGCTTATGGTAGTGTAGCGGTCAGCGGAAGAGTATGATTTAAAATATATAGAAAAGAATACCTCAAGAAAGAGTTCTATGGCAGGGAGGTTTGGTGGAGAGAAGTGAAGTGTTCCAGGAGATGAAAGTAAATAATTGATTGAACAGGCTTCATGGAGGCAGGAAAGTTAAATATTAACTGGAACATGATATTTGGGAAACAATAATAAAGTGAGATGTTTATCATCAAGGGAATGTTTCTGGCAACCAGACAAGGACGCTTATGTAGATAATGGATCTAAGACTGGAAAAGGTCAGAGCAGCATCTGGTGGTTCAGTGAGGTAAATAGCAGGCAATTTCAGTTAAGATTCTAAAGGGATTGCGAATATAGGAATAATTAAGATTTGAAAACAATTATAAGTACGTCAATATAATACGTCATTGTGATGTATGGGGAAAAGGCAATGCGAAATACCTCTGTTAATGATTATATCTGTGTAAATGTCATGGCAATTGTGCGCATGTCTGAACTAGTGAATTTTGCTATAAATATTGCAACCTGACTGATTTTCAAGTACGCTTCAGAGATTGTTCTGAGCGTCCTATCAACTTGATAGTAAATTTGCCTGGAATCAATTTGCAGTCTCCGTCTCCTTCCTGCCTGATTGTGCTCTACATGATCCCGGGTAGCAAATCTGCCGCGACAAATGGGGGCTTGTCCGGGAGCCAACAAGGAGAGGAATAGAGACGAAACCTTTTGAGGGTTTGATTGCCCCCACTCAGCGGGTCGGGTGAGACGATGATCAGAAGGGGCGATACGGGTACCCACTGAGAGAAAACGACCCGGCTGGTCCTCGCCTTCCCTGCCTCCGGACTGGGGGAATTGAGAATTAACAGCTTTGATTCCATGGCACAGGTAAGGGAAAAGGCTAGCCTTAAAAGGTACATGGGAAGTACCGGGGGAATATTTCACTGAGAGATTACTGCAGAAATCAAGTGAAAACCCCGAGTGACGTTTTTCGCTGCAGAAAATCGCACTCACAGGTTAAAGGAATACCCTTTCAGGGGGAAAAGTGATAAGTCTGTTTTGTGTTTTGTGTTCGCCTGGGTTTATACTGTGTCTCTTTGCTTCTTTGCTTCTATATTTTTCCTTCTTTATGCTTTCTGTGCTTACTTTTGCTTTAATATATTTATTTTGTGTATATGATTGTGGGCAAAAAAAGAAAAATAGAAAATGGGTGGTATACCAAGTAAAAAGTCTTCAAATCCCCTTGAATGCATGATGAAGAATTTCTCAAAATTTAGGGAGCTAACTCAAACACCRGGATGCAATAGTCCCCAGAAATTGAGATCTCTTTGTGAGATAGATTGGGTACAATTCAATACTGGATGGCCAAGTGAAGGAAGTTATGACTTAAAAGCTATCAGASCAATTGTAAGAACAACAGCAGAGGTTCACCCAGATCAGTTCCCCTATGCTGAGGCATGGGAAAATGCCATAATTACACAGCCTGTATGGTTAAAGRAATGTCAAAATGGAGAATGTGCTATTTATGTAACCCAAACTAATCCTGAGAAACCTCHGGTAAATAAGAAAAAAAAGAAGTTTGCAATTTTTTCCTGTCCCGAGGAAGAATTAAGTAACCCTCCTCCTTATGTTCCTATATATCCACAATTAAAAGTCATTGAAAAAGGAGGGTCAACCCTGCCTTCTCAGTCCAAATCTTTAATTACACCAAAATCTCCTGATACCTCCCCTGGGGAGTCTTCATCTACGAGATCACCTTTAATAGATTTAGCATCTGCCAGCAGATGGCTTCAGAATATAACGGAAGAGTTTTTGCAAGACAGCCCCATTGCTGGAAGAACTAGAAGTCATAGTAATCCTGAAYCAAAGATTACTTTTCAATTACCTTTAAGAACAATGGTTCAATACATACATGAACCAGATGGAAAAGGAGAATTAAAAATGACTCAAAAGACTACTTATCAGCATGTGCCTTTTACTACTTCTGATTTGTTAAATTGGAAGTCTAACAATCCTCCCTATACTGAAAACCCTCAGCCACTTATAAATTTGTGTGAAACGATAATGGCTAGCCACCAGCCAGATTGGCCAGATTGCCAACAGCTATTACAGACTCTCTTTACTTCTGAGGAGYGAAGAAGAATCCTTAATCAGGGAACTCTAATAGCACAGGCATATGCTGTCAAGAACACGAGTTATAATCCCACCGAGTGGGCTGCAGGGGCATTTCCTTTGACAAATCCAAACTGGGATCCTAATATTAAACGAGAGATGGACTACATAGTCCAATACAGGGAATTTTTAATTGAAGYTTTGAAAAAAGGACCACCGAAGGTGGTCAACCTTAAGAAGATACAAGATGTGATACAAGGAAAAGATGAAAGCCCCGGTGCCTATCTAGAGAGATTGCTAGAAGCTTATCGAAAATATAGCCCTTATGATCCTGAATCAAAAGATGGATCTGCATTACTAAATACTTCATTTGTTACTCAATCTGCACCTGACATCCGTAAGAAGTTACAGAAACAAGATGGATTTGCAGGGATGAATCTGTCCCAATTAATTGAAATAGCCACAAAAGTATTCATCCATAGGGATGAAGCAGAAAAAAAGAGAGAGAAAGAAAATAAGAGAGGAAGATCATAAGATTCTTTTGAACATGTTAAATGAAAGAGATAAAAAGAAAGGATTTGGAAGTGAAAATAGAGGGAAAAGAGGAATGTGGAAAAGGGGAAGAGAAGGAGGAAGAGGGATGCCCCTGGGAAGACACCAGTGTGCCATTTGTCRTCAAGAAGGCCATTGGAAGAATGAGTGCCCATCTGCTCGAGGAGCGATAGGAATACRAAGGGGAGTGCCATCCCAGAGAGGAAAYTGGAGAGGAAAAGGCCGGGGAGGAGGCCATCCAGGGGGATATGCTACTCCGGATCCTGTGGCTAGATATGGAGGAAAAAKAGAAGAAGAATTTATTGGCATGGCTGGATTAGGAGARGACTGGACAGAATAGGACAGACCGGCCCCCTTACGCCTAGGCCCGGGGGAGCCACTGGTCAAAATGGAAATTGAGGGCCAGGAAATGACTTTTTTAGTAGATACAGGAGCTGAACACTCTGTGGTAATAAAGCCAGTGGCCCCTAAAAATGGACAAGAACTTCAAGTGGTTGGTGCCACCRGTCAGAGAAGAAGTTACCCTCTGTTACARAGTAGAAAATGTGACTTAGCAAGACAACAAGYGATGCATGAGTTCTTATATATCCCCGAATGCCCTATCCCTTTATTAGGAAGAGATTTGCTTTGTAAAATGAGAGCAATATTGACATTTGAAGAAAATGGAGAAATGGGAATGACTGTAAGAAAGGGACCTTATACTTTGGTTTGCCCTATGTCAGAAGAATGGAGAATATTTACTGTTAGTCAGGAATGCGCAGCAGACTGGAAGAGTTATGGAGTTCCAGGAGTATGGGCGGAAGACAATCCACCTGGTTTAGCCCGGTTTATTCCACCGGTACAGATAGAGGTAAAACCAGGGATGGGACCTGTGGCTATTCGACAGTATCCGATACCTCGAAAAGCTGTAGAAGGGATCAATTCGCATCTGATCCGGTTACTAAAATATGGGATCCTAAGAGAATGTAGGTCTCCTTGGAATACTCCTCTTTTACCATTACAAAAACCAGGGACACAAGATTTTCGTCCAGTACAAGATTTAAGAGCTGTAAATCAAGCCACAGTAACCATACACCCTGTTGTTCCTAATCCATATGTACTTTTGAGTTTAATACCGTCAGCAGCTACTCATTTTACCGTTTTGGATTTAAAAGATGCATTTTTTTGTATACGACTTGAAATCAATAGTCAGCCCATTTTTGCATTTCAGTGGGAAAACCCCACAACTGGAACAAAAGTCCAGTATACTTGGACCCGTTTGCCTCAAGGGTTCAAGAACAGTCCGACTATATTTGGAACGGCGTTGGCTCAGGACTTACGAGAGTTCCCATCAGACCCTAAAAATAGAGTTCTTTTACAATATGTGGATGATCTTCTTTTGGCAGCCACGTCGCAAGAATGTTACAGAGCAACTAAAGAATTATTACATTTACTTTACGAGAAGGGTTATAAGGTTTCTAAAAAGAAGGCCCAGCTGTGTCAAACTAGTGTCAAGTATTTAGGTTTTCGTGTGACACAGGGAAAGAGACAATTAGAAATTGAAAGAAAACAGTTTGCGCTATCCCCACCCCCACCAGTAGGCGTCAAGTGCGAGAATTTTTGGGGAGTGCAGGGTTTTGCAGACTCTGGATACCTAACTTTGCTATAATGGCAAGGCCTCTTTATGAAGCTACAAAGGGGGGTGAAAAGGAACCATTTAATTGGACCCCCGAATGCGCCCAAGCATTTGCCCGATTAAAACAAGCTTTGGTGAATGCACCTGCCTTGGGCCTGCCTGATTTGGAGAAGCCATTCACACTTTATGTTGGTGAACGAGATGGAATAGCAGTGGGGGTGCTTACCCAGCTATTAGGAACATGGCCGAGACCAGTAGCTTACTTGTCTAAGCAAATTGACCCTGTAGCAAAAGGATGGCCAACTTGTCTACGTGCTGTAGCTGCTACGGCCCTGCTGACTCAAGAAGCTGATAAATTGACTTTGGGACAAGAGTTGATAGTCAAAGTCCCTCATTCAGTAACGGCTATCATGGACTATAAAGGCCATCATTGGTTCACAAATAACCGTATGCTAAAATATCAGACTTTATTATGTGAAAACCCTCGAATTAAGTTACAGATTTGCAGTACATTAAATCCTGCTTCACTCCTGCCTGTTGAAGGAGAAATGCTTCAACATGATTGTTTAGAGACTATGGATGAAATATATTCCAGTAGGCCTGATCTGAAAGATCAACCATGGCCTAAGGCGGATACCACTCTTTTTACGGATGGAAGCAGTTTTATGGAAAATGGACAAAGATATGCTGGATATGCAGTAGTAACTGCAACTACTGTGTGGGAAGCAGAACCACTTCCTCTAAATACCTCAGCCCAAAAGGCAGAACTGATAGCACTCATAAGAGCTCTGGAGTTATCAGAAGGAAAAATAGTCAACATTTATACAGATTCTAAATATGCATTCACTACCTTACATGCACATGGAGCATTATATAAAGAGAAGGGACTACTAAATTCTGCTGGGAAAGAAATACAACATAGTGAGACCATTTTGAGATTGTTAGATGCTGTTTGGATTCCTGCAAAGGTAGCAGTGATGCATTGCCGAGGACATCAATATGGCGAGGATCCTGTGACCTATGGAAACCGGTATGCTGATACCACCGCAAAGGCCGCGGCCCGAAAGGGACGAGGAAAAGAGCCGGTCATGGCCCCTTTGCAGCGGTCAAGGTGGAAGGAATAAAAACCTGGATACATTATACCAGAATAAAAAAGGTATCACCTGAATGGACTGCGACTTCTGATCCAAAGGATCCCTTGAGACGTCGTATTATCAAACCAGCAGTGCCATGAGACCCAGAAAGAGGACTACGGCTCTGGTTTTGACCACATACCTGGAAGCTGGTCAAATAAATCAGACAGAAGATTGAGGAGCACTGTGAAGGTGCCAACGTGTATGGGACATTCTTCAACTGTGATAAATGTTTATGTAAAATGGTATTTTTTGTTGAGAATGTAATTTTAGGAGTTTGCGAGGCTACTGTGGGACATTCGCTCGCAAAAAGGGGGGAATGTAGCGGTCAGCGGAAGAGTATGATTTAAAATATATAGAAAAGAATACCTCAAGAAAGAGTTCTATGGCAGGGAGGTTTGGTGGAGAGAAGTGAAGTGTTCCAGGAGATGAAAGTAAATAATTGATTGAACAGGCTTCATGGAGGCAGGAAAGTTAAATATTAACTGGAACATGATATTTGGGAAACAATAATAAAGTGAGATGTTTATCATCAAGGGAATGTTTCTGGCAACCAGACAAGGACGCTTATGTAGATAATGGATCTAAGACTGGAAAAGGTCAGAGCAGCATCTGGTGGTTCAGTGAGGTAAATAGCAGGCAATTTCAGTTAAGATTCTATATTACGAATATGGGAATAATTAAGATTTGAAACAATTATAAGTACGTCAATATAATACGTCATTGTGATGTATGGGAAAAGGTAATGCGAAATACCTCTGTTAATGTTTATATCTGTGTAAATGTCATGGCAATTGTGCGCATGTCTGAACTAGTGAATTTTGCTATAAATATTGCAACCTGACTGATTTTCAAGTACGCTTCAGAGATTGTTCTGAGCGTCCTATCAACTTGATAGTAAATTTGCCTGGAATCAATTTGCAGTCTCCGTCTCCTTCCTGCCTGATTGTGCTCTACATGATCCCGGGTAGCAAATCTGCCGCAACAGTAGGAAACATATTTACCAGAGTATTCAGGATACTCTGGCAATATTAAAAAAGAGGAAATGTTATTTTATTGTTGCAGACAATACATCTCAGATAAAAGTGGAGATAGACCTAACTTTGGTAGAAGAGTCCCTAATGCTGACTCTTTTGTGTGTGTCAGCCATCTTCAGGCAGAGAAATCTTATAGCACTTCCTTCTCAAACCAAGGTTAATAAAGTAGACAGAGACTTCTGGGAAGAAGAGGGAAGTGACTTCTACATACAAGCAGAAAGCAAAACCTGGGAGGGGGTGTTCTGGATTGACCTTCCAGTAAATGACCAGCTCAGGAGAGCAACTTATCATTTTGCTTTTTCCTCAGAGTCAGATATTTTGTCCAAGGGATAAATTGAGGAGATGCTTATGGGTTGGCACCTGGCCTCAGCAAGACCTGCATCAGGTTGCTCCTCCTATTTCTTACTCCCACAGACACTACTCACTTGATACCTATGGGCTAAATAAAGTGCCCCTGGTTTATCTCAATTTTCTGTGTATATTCTTGTTATATCATGAATGGTCATCAAACAACAATTATAATGAAAGACAAGTTGAACTGAACAACACTAAGGAAATAATTCAGAATGATTGTATTTCTGACTATCAGTACACTCCTCGCTGGTTATGAATGTCTGCCTCTCTTCGGTTTGATGTTGCAAGGAGCTCTCAAATACAAAATGAATACATTTTAAAGTAACTTTAGTCGACCTTGGATGCTGACTTTGTCTTTGGATATACAAAAATTGGTCTCTTCTCTGCAAGTGGTCGTTGTAAAGAGTACTGCTAGGATCTTGCACTGTAGAAGATCACTGATGAAGAATAATAATAAGTCAGTTCCCCTGTTTTACGTTAGAAGTTATTAAAGGTTGCATATCAACTTTCCAAAGAAAAATATGTCAAGAGAATTTGACCAAATTCTATATAATGTTGAATGAACAAGGAAAAGTACAATATAAAAATGCTAAATACTAACTTACTATAAACAAACATAATTACTGTTTATAATCAACATATTTTGCCAAAGTTTATAGTAGTTAGTTGAACCAAACCATTAAATGAGTATCAGCATAGCAAACCAATGCAACAATGCAAACAACTTATCTATTACACAGCCCAACCCCCCAAATATTTCTTGGTATATTGGCTTTTAGGCCTGTTTTGGGGGTATATTTTATTCATAAAATGTCATTGGATAGACAGCATCAGCTCTAGTTTCTTAGATATGATTATCTTGGTTTCTTATAGACAAGCAGATGAAGACTGGCATGTGGCATATATTCTGTAAGTGATTCGGTAAATCTGTACTTATGACCTGTGTTACAAAGCCAGAGCTGCCCCCTCCCCCAAACACAAACAAATGAAAACACCCATTTACAGTTTTGAGTTTTCTACAAATTGCTTTCTTTATTTTCTAGTATATTTTAATTATAATGTAATTCTAATCTTCATACTTTCAGAGTGTAGGTTTATCACATGTATGGAAGTACCCTGTTTCCAGCCCTGTAGAGTAATTCCCAAACTCAGTTGCTGAAAGCAGGTCCACATGATGATACCCATTCACTGAGCAATTGTATGAAAAGTAAATTAACTACTGCCAAACGGCTACATTGCAAAATTTCCCAGTTTTGAACATTTTCCTACAACTTTGACACAGCCTGGGTTATTGCTATTTGGGGAGGGGGGGGGTGGCTTTTCCTGCAGTTCCCATTTTTCTAGCATTGCAGCCAAATTAAAAGTGTACACATCTAAAATTCTTTTCATTTATTGTTTGTAGTCCCTCTGTATCTTTGTTGGCAGTTTTTCTTCGGATGCAGTTACTGTAAAGTTTAGGCTTCTGTAATGCTAGAAATCTGAGAAACAAGGAAAAAATTCATTTGGTGGGCAGATTATTTTATTTTGGAAACAATGATTTCATTTCTCCCTTCTGCCTCTAACTACATTATATAATCCAGTTTAAAGCAGATAATCTGGATTTTATATGCAGTGTAGAAGGAACCCTAGTCAGCACATTCAGTATAGCTGAGGGCCGTCCAGACAGTACCTTTATCCCAGAAGCTCCCGGTCCAAACTAGAGGGTGGCCAAATGATCTTCCCTGAAAACAGATGAGGAATCACTACAAAGGGGGGAATCCTCGGAATAAAAGTTCCCCTTTTATCTCATTTCTGGGCAAAAGAACCTCATCTTCATGTGTGTGTGTGTGTGACCCTGCATTCCCAAAAACATGAGTTTTCCTTCCATCCCCCATGTCTGGACTCCCTTCCTGGCTCTATTCCCCCTCCCCCTCAAGTAACCGGAGCCTTCAACAGAAGTAGACCTGAAGCCTTTGCCTCTTTCCCTCTTTTCTGGAAGATCCCCTCCTCCCCTACCCAAAGCCCTCTTTCAGCTCTTCCAAGGGTAGTGAGAGCAAGGGAGAAAGGCTCCAGGCCTCATCAGAGTGGGAAAATGGGGGGAAGGGAGGGGGGCTGGCAGTGCCCATGATGCCCACCCCTGCTTATCTTGGACCAGCAGGGGTGGGTATCTGGACAACCCCCCTCCGCAAAACCCTGGGGTTTAGGCCAGCTGTCCATCCCAAGAAGAACTGGGATTTAAAATCCTAGTTCCTCTTGGATCTTTTGCCTGTCTGGAACCACCCTGAGCTAGCTGAGAAATTCTGGGATTTAAAGGTTTTTAAAAACTAGTTTTTCAAGTTCAGGCCATGATGATGCCTTCTTATGCTATTTGATTTTGTTTTTATAGCAGACACACTATGTCTGAAGGATGTCATCTGAAATACTGGTTTTGAAAAGATTAAATGCTGGTGTGTTTCTCTGCAGTCCTGGTTTCTTCACCTCTTTTGTCTTTTATGTGCTATGTTTATTACACTGTTCTTGATCACCTTGGTAAGTAACAACAGGGAGCCTCTAAAAGGGACCATTACCCACAAAGATCATTATCTGAGCTTTTTAAAAGAAGTTCCTTGTCAACTTCTTTAAAATATTCCTCTCTTCCCAGTAGTCATCTAATACTTTTTCCTTTCCCAACTGTACATCCGTTTTCCATTCTTTAAAAAAGATGCTGCCTGAAATAAACACTATTTTGGAGTATTGGCTTTTAGTGACAAACCATTGCACAATGAATTCTCTTAGATATTGTTCCTGGAAAGAATTTACTCAATTCCGGAGAAAGGTAAATTTAATGGCCATGGCTTGAAGGGGTGCTTTGAAGAAGACCTCCTGGATGTTTTATAAGATTAAGGCAATGTGGAACAGGAAAACTATTTAAATGAGTTTGGGTTCCTAGTTTAGACATTACATGAGGTAATATCACACATTTTCATTTTTTAAAAATTGGCTACAGTTCAGGATATAATTCCAATTTTGCCCTAATATGATTATAATGTTTATTTGCAATAATTTTGTTCCCAGAATGCCCCCAAAGAGCATATCTATAGTTCTGTTTTTTGCTCCCTTGAAAGTGCTGACAAAATGACTGGGAAGAGAATACAATGATTTGTGTCATTTAGATTTTTAAAGTAAGTAAAATTAAATGTTTCAGTTATTTGTTCTGAGATATTACACTGTCAAGAGTTTGTTATTTACATTTTTAATTATAATGATAGCTTCACTTAATTATATTTTTAAAGGAATTTCTTATTCTCTGGCTATCACCACATTATTAATCTTTCACGAAGAGCAGGAAAGGACTAAGACTGGATGTACACTCCCATATAATCCAGTATCTTATCTCAAATTATTTATTTTGTACATATTTTGTATGAGTCTACATTGCCATATAATCCAGTTCAAAGCCGATAATCTAGGATCAGAAACTGCATTATATGGCAGTGTAGATGGGGGCTAAGTCCACTAGCTTTATTGCCCAAGTGTTAGATGGAACATCAATCAATGTCAGGCTGTTGTACACATATAGGTTTTTCCTCTTCTATAGAGTCCTGTGAGATTAGAATTTTGGATCATGGAAGGGAATTATAC